TGAGAGTCAACCAGGTTCTGTAAATAAATATTTCTATTTGTTAATAAGAGAAGAACACAAATGGAAATAAACTTTTTGTAGTGAGAGTCAACCAGGTTCTGTAAATAAATATTTCTATTTGTTAATAAGAGAAAAACACAAATGCGAGTAGCCAATTATATTTATATTGAAAAAAAAATCTGGTGGATTATATTACTTGTGTTAACATTATATAATTTCTGCACAAGCCAGATTAACGCCATTCTAGAAAAGATATGAGAATTAACTATGAACAAAGTAGTAAACGATATCTTTCGTAAACTAGCATGATTGTATGATGTGCGGATCTAGTAAACAAAGGTGCTGTTTAAACACCATTGTAGCTCAGAAGTGAAAAATGAACAAACAGTGCCTGTTAAAGCATTCGGAAGTTCTAAAGGTTTCTTTGTGCGTATAAATCAAAGTTAAATGACTATTGGATTAAACAGGATATTCTGCAGATAGCATTCATTTAGCTTCCCGGTAATAATAACGTAAGACGAGAACACACTAATCAAAGACTCTTATGAAAACGCAGAGCATTTAGAAGTGTTCAACTATTCTTCTTGAAAACAATTCATCTCAGCTATCACAGCATTTCAGGAGGACAGTTCAAAGGATGTAAGGATTCATTGAAGTGAATCCAAGGAAACGTCAGTTTAAAAAATATGTGACGTTCGGTATCCACACAAATGTCAATTATTCAGTCGAGTAGGATGCAAGAATGAAGATCTGTTCGTAGAGATTAAATAAGATAAGACAAGTATAACTGTCAGTCAGTTTTTATGTTACATGAGCAACTATCACTCACGCGCCGTGTGTACTCACTAATCTCTGAATAGACTTAATACTTAAATATCCTTACATAAAATGGGAACAGCACTTTATAATTCCGTTCTTTAAGAAAATCTGCCATTTCATCTAACTTTTTTTAAATTCATACTGGCTGATATCCAAGCTGAGCATGAACCTTCTATTTCTCTTAGCCGTGGCTTTGCTAGATTCAGAAGTACACATCATTTCCATCTCTTATAATTGTGAACTATGAGGTAAGGTTTCAGGGAACCGAATTCAGCTTTCTGTAATAGTGCGCTAGTACTAAGCTGATCATGTCTATCTTATAAATCTGAAGTCTTAAAACAAAAAGCATTATATATATATTTATACAACCAAAAATAGTATGTCCCCTGGAAAATTAAGGTAAGTTCAATGCTGTAGGTATTTTTAAAGCTGTGGTATATATATATATATATAGTGAATGGTAATTCACTACCAACTAGATTTAGGGTTAGATTTTCCAAGCTTCGAGAAATATCAAAATCTCGCTCAAATTCGTAGAGAAAAAATTTGTTTAAAGTTAGTAATGCAATTTGTAAGATTTATTTTGTATATCATAATAATAAGGTATAAACAATTAATATCGAGGTAAGTTTTCTCTCCTAAACTACCAGAGAAATATTAAACAAACGATAAAAACAAATCTTAATTACCTTTTTATTTTTTACATCCATTATCTGTATCAATAACGTTTACAATCACCATTTTATTGCTGAGTGCCTGATGTAAGTCAATCATTACTTTGAAATATCTTGTAATAAATTAATTCAAATAATAGCTTTTTGTATTCAACATTCTCTCAGTATGGCAACAATCACAAACCAGTTTGTAGATCCGTACTATAGAAGCAATGATTCATTATGCTGAACTCAGGGAAGAAACACTTCGATATCGAAATCTTCTTGTCAGTACCGTATAGTTCGTGGTAATGCAGTTACACTTCAGCGGTTCTAATGTAACTGGGGTCATTATACAGAACTCAGGGAAGAAACACTTCGATATCGAAATCTTCCTGTCAGTACCGTATAGTTTGTGGTAATGCAGTTACACTTCAGCGGTTCTAATGTAACTGGGGTCATTATTCTGAACTCAGGGAAGAAACATTTCGATATCGAAATCTTCCTGTCAGTACCGTATAGTTTGTGGTAATGCAGTTACACTTCAGCGGTTCTAATGTAACTGGGGTCATTATTCTGCACTGATAATTACTATCAATAAATAGAATGGACGATAAAACCACAACCAAACGGGAAGTTTAAATATTCTTATCTAATGAAAGTCATAAAAAAAGGATACATAATTATGTGGTAACTGAAAAGCGCCGCTATTCCTGGAGTTTCAATTGATAGCGATTTAGTAAGGTTAACAAACAGAGGACAATGTGTTATGTTTGTATATTTTTGTGTTAACAGATACATCGTTGTAGTTAAATAATTAAATTACTAGTATGTTTGTTAGTCTTAAATAACACAGTAGTGTAAAAAGTAAATCGTATTGAGCGATGTTTGGAAATGATTCATTTTTCATGAACATCAAAAATATTCTCATACGTTACAGAAATTGTTCTGGGACAAATTAGTCATATTTTTTCACTAAAATCACTTAATCATCGTTAAATAATTATCCATTCATTTATTATTATAATTTGTGACAGGGTAGAATGAAGGATTAAACCTAATTGAGCGATGTTTAGAGATGATTGATTTTTCAAGAGAGCAACAAAAGTTCTTCTGAGAAAAATTAATCATATTTTTTAATAAATTTAATTTTTTAATTCAACGTATTCAAATTAAAATAACTAATAGCTGCTTGTTTTTAATATTGGTTAGAATTTACTTGAAATTTTTACGTTTCTTATTTTGTCACATGAGATATTTGGAAAGCTGAAAAGACCTATATAATTTTCTAATGATATTTCTGGAGTTTTTTTCATAGATATTAATAATATTAATAAAATATTAATAAATAAATCTAGGCTAATTTCATTTAAGGCCATTTTTTTTGGTAAAAGCATTTACACATTAACTTTTAATTATTCGGATTTCCACTGTTTCCTGAGGAGTATCAGTTAAAATGTTTGTTTGTTTGTTTGGAATTTCGCGCAAAGAAAGCTACACGAGGGCTATCTGCGCTAGCCATCCCTAATTTAGCAGTGTAAGGCTAGAGGAAAGGCAGCTAGTCATCACCACCCACCGCCAACTCTTAGACTAATCTTTTACCAAAGAATAGAGTGATTGACCGTCACATTATATCGCCCCCACGGCTGAAAGGGAGAGCATGTTTGGTGTGACGGGGATTCGAACCCGCGACCCTCAGATTGCGAGTCGAGCGCCCTAACCACCTGGCCATGCCGGGCCCAGTTAAAGTGAACAGTCATTAAAATCTGTCAAAGTGTTTTTAAAAAGGAATACACTAGTTATGGTTATTATCCTGTATGTAATATATTAAATATTAGTGCATTTTAAACTTTCAACGCCAGTTAGTCTTGATTTGTTTCAAAAAGATACAAGGAATCAGAATAATTTAAATTTCTTAATTATGGCTCAGTTCTTGCATTAGGTATATCTTTGAATGCACGCACATAAAATACTTTTAAAATCGCTACTGTATTTATCATATTTAAATTTTGTTGCATTTATCTTAGCAATGATACCCTTTGAACAAACCTATCATATAGACGTAAATATATTTACAAAGTTCTCATGTAGAAGACACTATTGTTGGATCGCTCAACCAGCATTTCACTACTTCTTATCCACCGTTTTACTTTCATCAAGTAAAAATTGACAAACGAATTTTTCAACCTGAACAGCATCTTATGCATTGATAGGCTAAACGACCAAGTCATAGACCCTTATGGCTCACTCCTTAATTTTAAATTACTCTTCAGCCAGAAGCATCTGAGGCGATAGACGCTTTTTCTTGGCTCTTTGAACAGAATAACAGTCTTGACTGTCATTTTCATGACTCTTTCATATTTGAGCGTGCGGAACGTAGTCAGGTTCATCAAACCTCAAACTCAGTTCCTTTGATTCGTGGGGCGATACGCCAGGTGATTAACTGAGTGAAATGTGAAACTTACAAAAATTCTTATAGAGAGGTACAGTTTGATCTTTTGCAGGAAGTTATGAACACTTCGGAATAAAAATGTTAAATATTATAACCCAAAAAATTACAACAGATATATTTTTTTACTTTTAAGATATTCTTACACCGAAATTATAAATTACTTTTTACGTCATGTTACACTCAGATACGTATGCTTTAATTCATCAAGAGCATGTTTGAAAACAAAATTCATTTAACTGTTATTGTTAAACATGATCTCGTTTAGTTACAATCATTACCAATAGGGAACTATGGCTTCAGGTTTGTAGCATAATCTACTTAGCTCTTTCTCCCAATTATAACCTACATGTCCAGCTCGCTGTTTAAAAGTCACGTGACATGATTAACAATCGTACTTTTAAATCATAACCTTTAAATCATGACCTTTGCAGGTCAATTTTACTCTCAGAATAAGTAAATGAACACTGGATGTTGCCACGAATGAAGTATACTAGAAATTTCAAAACTTGTAGACTTGTTAAAATTATAACTATAAGCCGATAACATTTTTGAAAGGTTTATAACTTTGAAGTTTTAGTCAACTGTTAGAAGCTGGCACGAGGGCGCTCGACTCGCAATATGCGGTCGCAGGATCCACTCCTGTCACGGAAAATTCTCGCTCTGTTAGCTGAGAGGGCTTTATAATGTGACGATTAGTCCAAGCGTTAGCGGTGGGTGATGTTGACTAACTGCCTTCCTTCGAGTCTATCACATCAAAAGTAGGGACGGCAATAGCGCAGATGGCCTTTCAGTAGCTTTGGGTGAATTTCATCAAACAAACAAGTTGTAAACAGTTACACCCTTATTTCGTTTTCTATTATACATTTTCTCTATTACGTCAAAGTATTTGTGTGAAAATTTTATTTAATTACTTACTTTTTTGAAACCAAAACACACGTCAGAAAGTCTGAAAATTAAACTAGATGCAAAATGGAAGGTCTTTTCTTTCACCTTGACATCTACGAAGTTTTTTAATGATAGCAGGGCAGATCCTTTCTCTTTGCTTTCTAAGGACCTTTCACTTTCCCCTTAACTAGATCCTCCCGAGAAAGTATACCTAAAAGGGCCTTCCGACGCCCGAAGAGGAGATGTTGTTACAGTTGTGTGTACAACATCGCCTAGCAACCCAGCTGTACAAATAAAATGGTTGGTGGACGATAAGCTCATTAGTGGTGGAGAGCAGTTTACCAGAAATGACAGCGATGGATGGATAACTACGTCCAACCTTACCGTCACTCTCACCAGGCAGGTAAAATATACAGCCTTCTGAATGGTACATTTATTGCTTATGTCACGATGTTCTTGTTTTTTTTTTTATATAAATATATAACGCATTATTCTCTTTCTGTTGGGCCCGGCATGGCCAGGTGATTAGGGCGCTCGACTCGCAATCTGAGGGTCGTGGGTTCGAATCTCCGTCCCACCAAACATGCTCGCCCTTTCAGTTGTGAGGGCGTTATAATGTGACGGTCAATCCCACTATTCGTTGGTAAAAGAGTAGCCCAAGAGTTGGCAGTTGGTGGTGATGACTAGCTGCCTTCCCTCTAGTCTTACATTGCTAAATTAGGGACGGCTAGCGCAGATAGCCCTCGTGTAGCTTTGCGCGAAATTGAAAAACAAAACAAACTCTTTCTGATTACTGATCATGCATCGATAAAATCCTATGAGATAATTTCATTTTATAGATGTCACTGAGGCCTCTTATGTTCTGGTGGCCAGGGTACTCTACTCACAATCTGTGGGTTGCGGAATCAAATCTCGTAACCGAACATGCTCGCCCCTTCATCCATGGGGGCGATATAATGTGATGGTCAACCCACTGTTCGTTGGTAAAGAGTAGCCCAAAAGTTAGCGGTGGGTGGTATTGACTAATTGCCTTCCCTCTAGTCCATCTCCTCAAAATTAGGAAGAGCTAGCGCAGATAGCCCTCGAATAGCTTTGCGCGAAATTCAACAACAATAAAAAAACCTGTCGAAACATTCATACACACGTATACAGAACAACAAAGAAATGTGCCTAAAACCCTGAACAGTCATAGTATAGTAAAGTTAGTACAGCTTAACAGTTAAACGCATAGCTTATAATTTCCTTTAAGTTTTGGAGCAATAATAAGGTCAAATAGAGGTATATTAAATAATTGCAGTACATAAAAGGATAGGATTCTATCGATATGCGATTGAGTGTTCGAAGAGCAGATAAAGAATAAAAATAAAATATTGGTCGATTTTCTTTCTTCGAGGTTGGCATCGACAAAATATTCTGTAGTAAGGAATCCTTGACGCCCTCTTTTCTAAAACTCCACGTGAAAAGAAAAAGTGCCTTATACGTTTTTCTAGACGTTTCTGCTTATTTGTAAGAGCTCGTATTGTCCCTAAAACGTTATTTATTTCTTCAGAGCACATCAAATTTAAAGCACAAAATCGAACGAACCAGATTCTGTGGTGACTGTTTAATGAATAAAACAGCAGTTTAGATAGAGTCACAAAAAAGCAAATTATACGCAAAAATAAATCAAAAATAAGTCAGAAAGTTAGGACTAACTGCAGCACCAACTCTCATTTCTTTGATTAAAAAGCAGGTAAGTACTCATGCATGATATATGTCTGTTTTTAACCAATCGTCTGTAAATATTTTTTCTTTCTACAGAATCGTTTAAATAATTTGGTATTTTCAGCCTGGACAGCACTTTATGCGGTACATGACCTCAGCAGGCAGCTGAGAGAACACAAGATTTAGACGTTGTCATTCCTAACCTGAAATTTCTGAACAGTGAGTTAGTTTGTTTGTAATTAAGCACAAAGCTACACAGTGGGCTATCTGTGCTCTGCCCACCACGGGTATCGATACCCGGTTTCTAGCTTTGTAAGTCCGCAGACATACCGCTGTGCCACTGGGGGCAGTGGATTAGTAACCTGTTACAACGCCCGCTACCTGCAACATTTGTCTTGTGAATAGCGGGACTGATTGGTACAAATATAACGCTCCAACAGCTGAAAATAAATAGGATGTTAGCGGTATATCGTGTTTCGAATATTAGACCTTCTGATTCGTAGCCAGATAAATTGAACTTTAGACAGAAATCTCATTCACTTTTGTTGCTTACATTTTCATTTCGACCTACTATGAGGTTATATTGATTATCAATACTATTAAAGTTAACAATTTTGAGATGGCTCCTCTGGTGATCCAGCGGTAAACCTAAGGGCTTATAACTCAAAAACTCGTAATTCGTCTCAGCTGTGGGCTCGGCGCAAGTATTTTGTGAATCAGCTTTTATTTAAACTATAAAAAACTGAAAATTTTAGATGGATATCAATTAGCATAAAACATTTCTTTGAGACTTCTGATTTATCACGAACGAAACCAAAACCAAATATTAATTGATTGTGTCTACTCGTCTGAGTGATTGTTGTTAAGCACATTGCTATCTGTGCTCTACTCATCACAGGTATTGAAACCGAATTTTTAGCGTCGTAAGCCTGCAGACTTATCGCTGAGCCATTGGGGGAGTAGTACCCAAAGTGCTGTTGTAAAGATGAGACATAAAATCACACAAATATTCCCCAGATGAGACATAAATCACTCAAATATTCCACACATGAAATATAAAATTACACAAATATTCCCCAGATGAGACATAAAATCACACAAATATTCCCCAAATGAGACATAAATCACTCAAATATTCCACAGATGAGATATAAAATCACACAAATATTCCCCAAATGAGACATAAATCACTCAAATATTCCCTATATAAGACATAAATCACATAAATATTCCACAGGTGAGACATAAAATCACACAAATATTTCCCAAATGAGACATAAAATCACACAAATATTCCACAGATGAGATATAAAATTCACACAAATATTCCCCAAATGAGACATAAATCACTCAAATATTCCACAGATGAGATATAAAATCACACTAATATTCCCCAGATGAGACATAAAATCACACAAATATTCCCCATATAAGACATAAATCACATAATATTCCACAGATGAGACATAAAATCACACAAATATTCCCCATATAAGACATAAAT